GCATCGACAGCTGGGGCGCTGATAGTCTCATACACCCTCAATGTGTTTGAGCGTACCATGCGTCTTTGAAGACTGGGGACCAGACACTTGTACAAGGAAGAAAGCTTAGGAATTGCTCAAAGGCTAGTGGCACGATAATTTGGTTCTCCGCTTAAAATAGTAGAAGGGGTGCTACACGGTGGAGAAGTGGCGAAAAAGTGAAGTAAATCGGTCAAAAACCTGCTAAAAAACCCTAGTAAGCCCTTGTCTCAAACAACTCAGAAAGCAATTTGGGACGAGTTGCCTATCGTGCCAATAGTCGCTACGGCCGATAAGGCTGCATGTACGTGCTCATACATATATCCATGCAACACCACAGCCGCTTCATATCAATCCCTTCGCTTCATATTGTACTCCACAAATGAAGCGATAGGAGCGTCAGCATCGCTCATCCATTTGTAGGCGGGCGGGCGCGGTGGGCGTCTGGGTCGGTATGCTGCGGCTTGTTAGGGCCTTATAAGTGCATTTTTTTAAAAAGGCGCTAAACAGCGACTGTTTAGGGGCGCCGAGTTTTACCCTGTGAGGCGCTTTAATCTCACGCCTCTTTGAGATTTATCGTGCTACTCGCCTTTGAGCGGGGAAACTATCTTTAAACTCCAACTGGACTCGTTAACCCTTTTTTCAGTTTCACGATAATCAAAAACAGACTATTACCCCAGAAAACGTACACAAAGCTGAGACTCAACTCTGCTATATGTTATTTACCGAATCCCTTACAAAGCATGTAACCCCAAACTATTACTAAACGAACAGTTTGCTGCATTTTCATTAATGTCCAACTCCCAACACAAGTTCGCGCCACGCGAGATTGGATCACGTGAGTCGCAGCGATAATGAAAACATCTCCAAAAGAATGCTAATGAGATTAGGATGCAATGTTTACACTCATCATTTTGAAACGAAACACGAAATAAAGACGTCCATGACAATTTCCTGCAATCGCCTCGACAAATGGCGCCCCTGAGTACGATTCACCACCCGTTTTTGCAGAGCCGAGGCTATAATATTACTAACATTTTTATATTTGATGCTTGTTGAATTCCAATCACGGTTTAGACATTCACAGTGGCATAGGGCTAACAAATAGGAGGAGAGGATGATTTGCGTCGAACTCGGCACTAAGAGAATTTGTTCAATCCTGATTTTTCCTGTATCAGACGCATAGTGCACACCCCGTGCTAGCCACCAAAAGGGGCGAATGTGTTTTGGGTAGTTGCGGCAGGCTGTGAAAGTGGTGTAATAGTACCGAGAGAGGCGGAGATCAACGAAAACCGAAATCATCTTTTCCGATCGATACCTTTGGTGGCTTACCAGTATCTCGAAATGGCCTTCAGTTTCTGTTAGGCAGCGTTCATACTTCGCAACAGCAACGGCGATCGCGGCGACCTCGGCGACCGCCGCGATCGTCGGTACATGGTGGAGCGCGCCCCAACGCTATTACATGGACCGCTAGGAACGCTTTCAGGGAGAAGCGACCCAATTTCATGTTTTTTTTTCTTTAACTGCAATTTTCTTAGGTACTGGAGCTTGGTTCGACACAAAGGAAGGTGAACCATCTTAATGGCTTTTGTTTTCTATTTTCTTTCTTGATTCAGGATAGAAATGAGCAAAAAGCGTGAGAGCTTCACTTAGGGTAGGTTTTATCGTTTCTTTTTTTATTCGTCAAGTTTATACCTGAGATTATAAATTCCCACCAGTTGATGTTGCGTAAAATGATTAGTATTTTGGTTCCTAGGTGAGTTGCTCTCTGTTTCATTTTTTTCTTCGTTGTTTGAACTCGACTTGTTAGCTATAAATGTTTTGGAAGTTGGAAGAGTTCAGACGATAGGAACTTTTATGGCGCTCGTATAAAGTGAAACAATAAAGCAAAAGAAACAAAAAGAAGCTCACCCAGGGAATGGAGCCGGCCTATCCCGACCTAAAACGAAGTGAAACCTCCTCACCTCATATTCCAGATCCGCTTATGTATAGAAAGTCGTGAGTTATCAGTTAGTAGCCAGTATTTTGAGAAAAGAAGGTCTCACAAGTTGGATTCCCTTATTTATCAAGCGAGCGGTAAATAATAGCGTTGGGCCGCGCTCTACCACGTACCGACGATCGCGGCGATCGCCGCTGCTGTCGCGAAGTATGAACGCTGCCATACGGCATTTTAGATGACAAATCCTTTCTATTTTGATTCTTTCATGTTCTGCGGAGGCGAAGGAGGCGGAGTGGCCTAGAAAATAAAGTATGAGGTTTTCGCAGTTGATAAGTCCCTCTTTGAGATACGGCGCATTCTACTTCTATTTGGCTGGCTGGCCAAGGGAATACTCTGTCAGAGAGTGAAACTTTTATTTACACGTCCGACAAACAGAGTCCAATAATACATATATCAGTGATAATACATATATCGGTGAGATGTGAATGCGGGCGACGCTAAGGAACCGTATCGCTGGTGGCGTTGCTCAACAGAGAAGGGCGCACCGCGCCTACGTGGATGTCTGATGTACATCGTGTTGCACACCCATGATACCACTGCGCCATGCCTGCGGTATTGTCTTAGGGGGTGCTTATCTATCCGTGCGCCTAATGTCATTGGGATGGACTTCAGTGCTATCACTCATTCTTAGAAGATACACTAATACCATGTAGAACGTTGTGAATCCACAACAGCGGGGCGGGGCGACTTCAACGGTAACTCAGCAATAGTCAACAATATTAAGTAGAAGAAGAAATGATCACAATGTATACGAGCAAGTGAACGTGCTGATCACAGAAATGAGTTGAATGCGAAGGGATCGATCAAAAGAGCATCATTGAGTTCTTCTTCCCTAAACATCGTCGTTTCGGAGACAGCTATGATAGATGTTGTATTTGTAGCGTCGTTTTCCAGTGGTTGCGGTGCAATGGTGCGTTATTGTTTCCGACGTTTCCATTGTGGTGATCGACATTTCCTTGGAGTATGTTCAGAAGATCCTTTGCACACATCCAGTAGTGCGACTGGTAATATCGCGCAAGATTGGGATGTCTGGTAGAGGCTCGCCGTATGGATTCTGAAATCCAGCCACGCGGTTAACTTGAACTTGAACTTGACACCAAACTTGAGCGATCAATCGGTGGACTGAAGGTGGCACAAGAAGAGGTTCAAGATGTGAACAGTTTATGCCGACAGATCGATAAGGTGAGCTCCGAGGAGCCAAAGGAAATAGCTAAAGACGAGCCAAAGTCGAAAAAGTGTCGAAGTTGAGCGAAGTGTCCTTTTATAGGCCATGTTCCCGCCAGATTGATGTGTGGATCGTTTTGAATGATCTGCCGCGATCAAATTGCTTAAGCTGGTTTAACTGAACAAATCTGAACCAAACATCATATTAGTAAGCAAACAAACAGCACATGACACAAAAATACAATTATAACATAATATAACCTGACAATTTAAGAATTCAAAGGTTGAAGTCGCTTTCGCGACACTCCCCCCTTCGAGGAAGTGGGCTTCATGAGGAGATTGGTTCAAAAAACCGCTGTCGCGATCGACTGGCGTTCGTTGATTGTTCCTTTTCTTTTGACTTGACTTTCTTTGCTCTGTCCTTTTCGTCCAGCAGCCTCGATGACTATACTTGATCCATTCTGTCGCCTTTCGACTTTCTTTCCGCTTGAGTTCTGAACGTCTTCTTTCTGCAACCACTCTTTCCGACTCGTCGCCAGTTCTTCGTCCGCCTTTGTGTGGCTTTCGTACATCCAGTCACTCAAGACGAATCGCGTTCCCAATCGAAGAAGTCTTTCCTTGGTGAGACATGCGTTGAGCTCCTTGAGTGGTTCAGGTGCTGAACTCTTTCTGCTACTCCCATCTCGCGAAGAGTTGCGCTGCACATATGATGGAAGCAGTCGCTACGAATCGATGTACTGACAAACACTTGATTATGTATCTCGTTGAAGGTCGACATCAAATCGTTCTCCAATAGCTGATCTGTTGGTTTCGACTCGATCACCATTCGATGGAGATACTTCGGACCACCTTCTTGATCGCGTGGCTCCAGTCTGGAATTGAAGCCACTTGACGATGCGTACTTGACAGCGCTACTGTTGCGCTTAGATACTTGATTAAACTTGAAATCTTGAAAATTGTTATCTTGTCTGAATTTTCTCAAAATTGTAATTGCAAGTAGAGGGCTGCTAATTTCAATGCTTTTTGTCTCCACGGTGTGACCAAAGCCACTTATAAATAGGCAGAATATGAGGGTAATTGTTGCAACTAAATTCAAAGTAACTGAAGTCGCAGGAAGTGAACCGCGCTGTCGAAGGTTGTAACGCACACTTGAATTTGTTGACGTGTTTGTGTTGCAACCATTATCTTCGTCCGTTGTTCCTTCCTGTCCTTTGATATTCGCATGCTTTTGCTCCTGGAATACTGCATCGTAACGCTGAAGGAGGTTCTGATCCTTCTGCAGTGTTTCCCATACGCTATGAACTGCATCGAGGATGTGTTCGTTGACGTAGACTTGAAACAGCAGGATGTGTGGTGCGGACCTTGGCAACGGAAACAAGGTTGCCTGCTGCAGTCTGATGTTGCATGGTGCGTTGATGCGCATAGCTGGCACAAGTTCCTTTCTCGCAGGTACTGTGCTCGTTATTGCGGAGTTTTGAATTTTCCGCACTCTGCTGATTTGTGGTCTCCTTTGCAATACATGCATGGTTGCATCTTGCGAGACCGTACTGCTTTCTGTGAATGTGTTCCGATTGATGGTGTCTCCCGTTGCTCTTGAAGATACACTTGAAACATCTCTTCCGCAGAGAGCACGTCCTCCATGAGATCGAAAAGACCTTGCATGGAAATTGGTTGGAGACTTGAAGGGGTTGACCGCTTTTTTGCGAGGACTTTCCTTTGAAATCTCTCTGGAAATTTGGATAATATCTTCTTCATCATCCATTGACTGTCGACTTCGTTCGCTTTGTGTCTCAGCTGTTGAATGATTACTTGAATCTGCTCAGAAAGAATACGCTGATCCTTCAGGGAATGGCTCCGTAGATGGAAGTTTTCCAGTCGGGTTGATCAGCTTCTGAATAAGTTCTTCCTTTGAACCGTACCGGTTTGGGAGGAAGGTTATGGCTCTGGAGTAGTTATCCGCCGTTACTTGAAACTTGCGAACAGACTCCTTGGCTTCTCCTTGAAGCGCATCCAAAAGATAGTTGAATTTGAAGAGCTCTGGGAGTTCCTGTGAATGCACGGTTGCATTGAACAATTCCCAGAAGTTGTCCCAGTCCCAAATATTCCCGTTGAATTTTGGTATGGGCAAGGTGGGTAGTTCAACTGGACGGGGTCCATGAACTTGAGCAACACGAGCGGGGCCTTCTGAGAAGGACTGGTGTGCTGCTATTTGGGGTGGATCATACTCTCACTTGACTTGAGTGCTCTGATCCTGGTTGCAAGAGCATCATGAAATCCACTGCTGTCGCTAGAGATTCTTCTGCGGGATGGAGTACTTGTCGACTTCGTCTTGATCCGTTGCAGGTGGCATATCTAGCAGAGTCACGAATTTCGTTAATGTGGCCTCCAGTTGGGCCATCAAAGATTCGACGGCTCCCAGTGCTTCTTCTAGCTTCCTCAGCTTGTCTTGGTTCACGGCTTGTGAACCTACGCCGTATCAGCATGTAGTGATTCCAGTCCTTCTTCTTTGAAGCGCTCTACAGTCTGCTTCCAACTTGTTGCCGTAGAGGGTGAGCAGTCGTTCTGCAGTGGTCCAATTGCGCGCTCATCATTGATTTTCTTATTTGAGATAACTTGAATTGGAATCACTTGAATGATAATTTTTCTCACTTGAAAGGACAACTATTGCGAAAAAGTCACTTAGGGGTGTTGAAAATATCGATTATTGATTGACACTTGATCGACTGTTTGAACTTGATTTGTACTTTTCACGAGAAAGAAGCACAAAATTTACTCGAAAGATTTTAACTTGATAATGCAACTGAGTGCAAGAAACTATTACTTGAAATCTTGACTGAGAACCGTATTATTCAAATAGCTGACCTGAATTCTTGTGGCTGCCGATGCACCATATCGCGCAAGATTGGGATGTCTGGTAGAGGCTCGCCATATGGATTCAGAAATCCAGCCACGCGGTTAACTGGAACTTGAACTTGACACCAAACTTGAGCGATCAATCGGTGGACTGAAGGTGGCACAAGAAGAGGTTCAAGATGTGAACAGTTTATGCCGACAGATCGATAAGGTGAGCTCCGAGGAGCCAAAGGAAATAGCTAAAGACGAGCCAAAGTCGAAAAAGTGTCGAAGAGTGTCGAAGTTGAGCGAAGTGTCCTTTTATAGGCCATGTTCCCGCCAGATTGATGTGTGGATCGTTTTGAATGATCTGCCGCGATCAAATTGCTTAAGCTGGTTTAACTGAACAAATCTGAACTAAACATCATATTAGTAAGCAAACAAACAGCACATGACACAAAAATACAATTATAACATAATATAAGCTGACAATTTAAGAATTCAAAGGTTGAAGTCGCTTTCGCGACAGGTAATATCTGCCTTTTGCGCAACTGTGTCGTGCTTCTCTCCAGTCTTCCAGCTGAGGCCAAGCTCGTCATAATAATGAAGTGTGAGCTGCAAACGAATCCTTCCCTTGCTCTGAGCTGATCTTGCTCGTATCGGAATTGTAGCAAAATATTGTTGGTGTAAGGATGAGTCCCAATGGAAGGATTATTGCTGGAGCATCGTAACAAACCACTTGGTTGAGTAGATTATGTCCACTTGTTAGATCGGGATTTGTGAGATTCCCTTCGCTAATGAACACTTATCAGTGCGCGACAGCTCTGCAGTCCAGGTCGGTGGTGTTAGCTTCTCCTTAGTGTGAACAGTTTTTGGAGCTATGAAGACTTTTAAAGGTTACTCCAATTTCTTCAGAGTTGAAAGTTTCTTGAAGCTCTCATTATTATGGTGGTGAACGCCATAGAGCTGAGAAAAGACAGGCATAAATGGCTCCTCGTCTCCGCTCTAACAACGCTTCTGTGATTTCCTGAATCCAGGAGCACGTCGACTGGTTGATACCCATTTCAGCTTTGTTAAAGATCAGTGCTGATGCAGTCCGTAGCACGATGATTGGAAGGTGGTTGACGGTTCGGTGTTGTACTCTCTAGTAGAGGCGTATTGAGCAGAGCTTTACCCCGGGCACTCAGTCGTGAGTGGTTATTTCTGACTCCTGGAGCGTGCTCGGAGCAGTTGCTGTTCATTGAAACATTAGTCATTAATGGAGCTTGAAGGGAAGCGGTATGGGGTGGTCGTCCTTGTTGACTTGATGGTTTCCTGTTTTGAAGTTGACCTGCAGCATAGGTGAAAAGTGTAGAATGGTAATCTTTGTTGCATTTCGGATTGCTGACTGCAGAACACTTTCTCAAAGTGTACTTCTTGCTGAAGCATCACCAGCAGACCCTTTGTCGTCTGTCTTCTGCTGGGCGCTCCTATTGAGCTGAACTTCCGACAGTGTTGTGGTGGGCTTTTTTGGACTTGTGGTTAAAGTGAGGTCTGTTGTTGAGAGACTGCGATTGTTGTAGGCTGCGGTGGTTGCCTTGCATGCGTTGATCTGAAAAGAAAATTGTCCGAGTTCGATAGTCTCTTGTAGGGCGATTTCCGTCAATGAGCTCAACAATCTCATTCGCATCAAGGGAAGATCCATCCTCGTTTTCTTTTCGGATGACTGTAACGCAGATGGCTCCTGTGAATCCAGATAACATTAGACGCCTTCACATTCGGTCGGCATTCATTGGCAGTCCGATCTGCTACAAATGCGGTATGCGAGAAGAGATCGTTACAAGAGTTTTGCCGCAAGTCCTTGGGGTATTCTGAGCTCGTGGAAGCCGTTCAATCTCGTTGATCAAGATATGCGAGCTCTAGAATATTTACGGCTACCGCGTACTTCTCTCCTATATCTGGGATGCTGTTGATTGGACCACCCGCTTTTCCTTTGAGAGCTTGCTTCAAGATTTTGTACTGGACCAGCCGCTTTTCCTTTGAGAGTTATTTCAAGATTATAAACTCTAGCCGCTCAAGTCATTGTCGTTGTGAATGAGCGACTCGAAGACAGACCAAAAATTTGCTGAATTCACTGTAATTTTCTGAAAAGCAGGGTGGCTGTCTGATGTCTGACTCTAACGTTGCGTTCATGTGAAGTCATGGCGCTAACTGAAATTTCTAAACAGTAGCTGATACCACTGCTGACAGACTGGCTGTTGGTGGCTTGGGATGTGGTCAGCAGTGTTTGCTGTAGTAATCCCTCTTTCCTGGCGTTGGTTCTCATTAGCCATTGTATGACGGAAATTCCTAGACCATTGGATTCAGCCTCCAGATGCCCCTTCAGACCTAGCATGAGCTTCTCTCGTTCATTATGCTCTGTCCGCGCATTGATAGTTTCAGTGGCTTCTTTGACGAAAGAGTCATGGAACCGCTCCGCTGCTTTCATGGTTTTGGAGAGGCAGATCGGTTGTGCTGGTTTCTTTACAATATAAGCTTTGCATTGCTCCATTTGTGAAGAGCATGCGGAGGCTTGATCCGGCTTGCTGATTCCTGGCTCATGAGATTTGACTAGGAAGCAGGCATTTCGATCTTCGTCTAAACGCTTGAATTTCGGCCATTTTTGTAGGTTTCGCAACTGTCCAGAGTGTCAACACAAACCTTTTTTTCGTTTGCAATCTAAAGCGTGACATCGGCTTTTCAAGCCTTCGGTGATTCCGCAGTGTGCTCCTGCCATCAGGGTCTTTCTTCTATCTGTCTTGGTTCCTCGTTCAGGGACTCGCGCAAGACTTGGTTTTTTACCTTCTCGTGAGCGGCGCTAAGAAACCGTATCGCCAGCGTTGGTGGCGATACTCAACAGAGAGAATGGAGGGGCGCACCGCGCCTACGTGGATGTCTGATGTACATCGTTGGTTGCATACTCATGACACCGCTGCGCCATGCCTGCGGTATTGCCTTAAGAGGTGCTTATATACTCGTACACCTAAGATTATGAAGATGGGCTGCAGTAGTATCACTCATTCCTAGAAGACGCACTAATATTACGTAGGACGTTGTGAATCCACAACATTCAAAATCAAAGCGGCATATTGAATGCTGTGCACTATACAATAACTTGCGGATGCTGGCCAATGTACAAGTTAGTGTTCTTATCTTCTCAGAGGAATATGCTACGAATCTGCCATCCCCGGTGAAGATGGAGGGCCCGCTTGGCTTGGGTGGGAGCCGATCCGGGGGTCAAAGCCAGCACCTTGAGCGTGGTAAGCGTGCCACTCGCCACTGCTCCACCTCCGCCACGCAGAGGCTGCCAAACGGCCAAGTAAATTGTGACAGCCTTGGACGCCTCGAGCTAATCACTCTCCCGAAATTGCACCCATGCCAAGATTAAGGGAAAGCTGATCTCGGTCGGGTAATAAAACATTATTTTTTTATAGGGAGGGGAGTATTGACACCGCCATTTCACACATCCCAATGATTTGTCCTGATTGTTATACTTTCTATGAGCATGAAATACATGAGTGCTGTCACTGTAAGCACGTTGAGCTGGAACAGCGACGACATCGCCTTCGTAGTTTCTGATGCTCCTCTCCTGCCTGACAGGTTTCTTTGATTAAGAGTAGGGCACACTACTCCATGCAAAAATGCCCTTATGTCAATGGAAATCCGGTATATATCTTTAGCCATCCGAGATTAGTATATACGATTTATTCTGCTAACATTTCGGCGAACATCGCCTTCTTCGGAGCCTGCAAGTTGACACCTATCATTGAAACAAGTCACCCAATCAACATTTGAGACTGCAGTAAGAAAATACGGGCTAGGAAATCCTAGAACTACGGCGTAAAGCAACACGGATAGAAGTACTACCGGGCATTCTAAGTCTCATGACTGTACGAAGGTTTTTATATGTTTTGAAACTCCGAGGTAACGGGTCAGAAGACTTGAGGGGAACAACAAAGCAAAGGCTACCTCTGCAATTAGACCAACCTTAAGGGGCCAATTTTAGTCGCCATGTGTGACTCTCGATAAACCTTGGCATTTTGGTGATGTGAAGTTATTTGCTGCTCAACTCCACACAAAATTGGCAAGAAATTTCATTTGCTGGCCGACGTTTCGGTGAGTTCACCTTTTTCAGAGCCTGAAAGGGTGGAAGTTGATTCATTAGTACTCGACCAAATATCTAACATCCCACGTAGACCTTCGAGCCTCCCCCCTTTTTCATCACATCAACAATAGAGAGATAAAATCATCGTACCTTCCAGAGACACTAGATCAGCCACGGCTAGCACAGACGGGAGGTATCTCGGAGAGATCGCATTCAGAACCCCATTCAAAAGGCTAGCCTTATATAGGGGGCTAACTCCCGCGTTATTGACAAACATTCTCCCCTCCGGTTCATTTTTGGACTCATGGCCTGGATCCAGAACGCCTCGAGGGTCTTACTCGCGGACTTTGCGTCTCTTGCCCCAGGATCTCAACCGTGACCCCAAAGTCGGCCCTGTTGTGGTTATTTACCCTGTGGCAAGCTAGCGCTGTTTGAACCCGTGACCTCGCCTTGCCCTCAAGGAGTTCTTTCAACCGCACATAGGGCGGCCTCGCCGTCTCCCCTATGTACTCGTCTCCACATGTTTTACAGGAGATCTTGTAGACCACCCCTCGCATTGCGCAGTCTCCCTCCCTGCCGTTCGGGCAGACTACGCAACCTACTGTTTCACATGCGCGATCGTAGAGACGATTGCGAACAAGACACTATTTGAGATTGATGGGAAGGATCTCCACAAGACCAACGGAGTTTCCTAAACCTGACCTCCTTAGGCACTTCCTTATAGAAGCGCTAACCTCATCGGAGATAAAAGGCACTGTAAAGGGAATTTTCCCGGGATTGCCGCGCTGTCCGTGGCTGTGGCCCTGACCTGGGTCTATGCGCTAATGACGAGAGGTGGTAACCCTTCAGCCAAGCGATGTCACGTGTTATTTTCACCAATTTTAAATGCAGAGGTCAACAGTTGATGAAAAAACCAGCTTGTAAAGCAATTGTAATTAGAAATTTCTAAGGCTGAACCGGAACTTGTAGAGACCACCCACCCTAGGATTGATCATGTAGATCAATAGTCCCCCGGGCTGCCAGATGCTGTGGGTCCCTGCGGATCGCCGCGCATTCAACATAATTATCGATATTAAGGGTAATGCTGAATAATCCCCCGTGGCGCCTCCCGCGGGGTATTGAACACGTAGATCAAAACCGCAAAGGTCCGCGAAAGGTCCTTCCTGTTAATTTTATGGTTCTTGGTGGATATCCACAAGGCTTCAAGCGTCTTGCGGGCCAAGACATCCTGTTCTCGTGGTAGTATCATGACTTTCACCTCCTAACGTAGTCTAACCACGTCCTGGAGATCTGTTTTACGTAAACACGCGCATAAAGCAGTGTTCAGTTCATCCGAAACAAATGGGATACAGAATGGTAGCTTGATCTGCTTCGCTTCCTATCTGTCTCCTGTTCTAGTTCACCTTCTGTTCCATGCCGGCTGTCCATAGCGAACATAAGCGTTTTCCTCTGCTATACAATAGGCCAGAGTCATCGATTTTTTCCTGCACGCACCTTCAGATGAGACTGTTGAGGCCATTCGGAACATGTTTTTGACAATGGCCCTTTTGGTATTAGAGGAATGAGCCGAGCTAGAATGAACAATTGTTCTTTTACTGCTAGGTTTTTGATGCCTCCTAGTTCTATAAACGCTTCGCGAGAAATATTGTATCTGTACGTTGAGGAAGGCAAGTCAATCCTCTGTCGGCTTCTCGCGTGTGAACTTTATGTGAGCCTGCTCGTTTAGCACGTGGAAGCAGGAGTCCATTTCGGACTGGGTGGAACATATGATAAAGCAATCATCGATATACCTGCAGCACATAATCGGTTTAAGTTCTAGGACAGGTTTCTCAACTTTGTATTGGCAGAGCAAGAGCTAACCTTTGCCCCATTGCTAGACCCCTAATCTGTTTGTAGTATTTGCCCGACCATCTGGAGACGTCACATTTGAGGCATTCGTCGAACAATGCCATCACTTGCATGTTGGAGAGGCCGTATAGATTGAGTCTAGCATGGTGTTCGGTGAAGAACTCCAGGACTGCCACCATCTTTGGAGACCTTCGTATATAACGATGTTACATCGTACGACTCCACCACACTTCCCCTCCTCTAACCTGACCTTATGCAGTTTCTGAAGTAACATGTCAGTATTTGTTAGGTGTGCGGTAACAAACTAATGATTGCCCGAATATGAGGTTCAGAAACCAGGAAATCCTATCTGTAGGGCCACCCGCACTGCTCACAATTGGTCTGATCTTGAAGTCCGCTGGGTCTGTCATCCCGAGTCCTTGTGTAGGGAGGTTGTGCGTTTTGACAAGTACGTGCAAAACTGGGCAAATGGGTAAGTCGCACTTCAACCTGGTCACCAGACTCCTTGCAATTGTGCCGACCTAGCGACTTCAGCCCATACCCTTTTGAGTAGACGATACTGTGTAGCGAACTCCTCCTGCCTGCATGGGCTATACGTTGTTTCATTCTAAAGATGCAGCCGCGTAATAGCCCCTTTGAGGATGGACAACAAACTTCCAACTCTTGTCGCTTACCGAAATTTTCGTAGCACCCGACTCCGACAACTCCCCGAGTTCTCTAAGGCCTCGCTTTTGCACAATATTGAGGTTGGAAGGCGCGTTTTTGAATGGTTCGGTGAAGCATCGAGATCACAGCTTTTGCAGATAGGCGGAACTTTGTATCAACAGCAACATTAGGCTCCTGTGGATGGAGATACCTTGTTGGAAATGGAGGGGTCGAAATCATTGCGCTTGCTCTAACAAAATGAGCATTGTTGGCGAGGGACTCCTTTTTTTGCCTTCAGCGCAAGCGATCCTCCATGGACTGCATGTTCCCAACTATGTTACGTGTAACAGTGTGATTAAGGGACTGACTGGGCGCGTAACTTGGTCCGAAGTCTAATACAGAAATGGCGTCCTCAGAGAGCCCACATTCCCAATGACTGTTACCCTAGAGCCAAACACTCGTTCACCGCCAGTCTTTCCAGCTACAGAGTTTCCTCCAGTAGAATCGCTTGTGTTATAAATATTGGGCTTACGACATCGTTCTTGACTCACTAAACCAGTGAAATTCTTCTGCAATTTTACTTTGGTACTTGAGCAGATCGAATCACAGACTTGCTTTGACTCCCAACGATTCTGTTCCAAAGACTTTCGGATAACAGCCTTTCACAACATGATTCCTTAGCAGCACATTTCATAGGACAAGAACATAGAATATCACGTCTCGCCTTGAGTGCCATCCTCAGAACTCGTTGTTCTGATTTCTTGAGTCTTCGGAGCATCCACACACTTCATATATGTAGTCGTTTTTTCGCAATAAGTTTCGGGACTATACGGCGTTTCAGACATCGCTGTAGGAAAAGGATGGATTGTCTGGTCACTACGATTTTCTGTCGAAGAGACAATACAAGCTTCACGAGCCGGAAGTAGTTGGCTGAAACAATTTCCAATATATCACACGATCGGCTTTCGATTCTCGGCATTGTGACGTAATAATCCAGTATATATCATTATGTCAAGCAATACAAATACAAAATATGACGACTATAGCTTGGTGGAAAGTAAGCTGGGGCCGAATTCCTACAAACCACGAACATTCCAATAATTCTCAAGCTAGGGTGAAAGTCAGGAGCATGGCAATAAAAGTGAGCACAACATTGAGAGTAACTATGCCCTCCCACTGGCAAAATGGTGGTGAGCTATTCTTCATATTCTTCGCCTAGGAGCGACACAATAAAATAGAGAATTTAGGAGTATTGCGTTTTTCGTCGGGATATTCAGCTGCTGCCGAAATAATTCTTAGCGAGGGTAAAATAGAGAAATAATAACGCTGAGCACAAAAAATTGATTATCATATCGGAAGATCGATGCCCGTTCATCTGTGCTATGCGTAGACCAACCCAGAGTCCACGACTGACGACACAATCGAGTTTATTTCAATAGCAGGCCAGAAATAAAGATCTACGAACAGAAACCATCAAGGCAGCCAACATAGACATCATATACTTCGATCCTGCGATACTTTTGAAAGAGGAAATGGTCTTCAAGGAAGCGAAGTACAGTTTGTTCACTGCGGAAGAAGGGATGTATCAGTGAGGCTGAGTCCGGCTCGCCACCATCTCGTTCACTAGTTATTAGGCGGGTAAGCAGCAACAATTAGTGGAAAATGATTCATATGAATGATAGTATATAGTCTTGTCACGTGTACGCTTCAACAGCCGATGGAGCGGGTTTGACGCGCCATACCCACCTCTCCTGACACGCCCCATCATCCGCATCGGACAAAACTGTAGCAGTACGCTGCGCAGGGGCGGGAATCACACAAACGTTCCGTAGTGTACTGCTTCTGCTCAATATATATTAGGTTGTCTGGGAAGTTCTCAGCGTTTTGAGTGTTTCACTTTAAACGATCGTAACTTTCATACTCATCGGATTCAATCGAAACAAGCACCGTTCGAATCAGCACACTTTTGCTAATGTGACACCAATCGAAATCCCGTCAAAGAAAAAAACTGGGTGGTCGAGAATCTAAGAAATCCACGAAGGCTTTTTTTCCTGGTCCTAATTGATGAAGTATTTTCCAGCAAGGAAGCTCTAAAAATGTTTGAAAAGGTGATAGTCGGTTGGTGAAAGGTCTGGAGAATATACCGGGTGAGGTAGAACTTCAACACCCAATTCGTTCAATTTATGGAAAGTGATTTGTGAAAAGTGTTTGCGGGCGTTGTCATGCAGAAGAACCGGACCCTCTCTGTTGACAAGTGCTGGCTGGGGCCGTTTGGACTCCAGAAATTTCGTCTTCGAGCTCACTTTCAAACTGCCTAAGTCACCAAATCCACTAAAAATTTGTGCATAGGGGTAATTCAACATCCTGATTACGAGTATGACACTCATTCTTGGCGCTGGCGCCAAGAGAGGACACTACAATTACCTCCTGGGCTCAGCCTTAGCAGAGCGCAGGTAACCGTAGTGTCATCCATTAGCGCCAGCGACTAAAAAGAATGTCATATTCGTGCAGGATGTTGAATTACCCCTGTATACAAGTTTTTAGCGGATTTGGTGATTTGCCACTTTTAAAATGAGCTCGAAGACAAAATTTCTGGAGCTCAAACGGCATTAGCCTGCTGGCTGCAGCAGACGCGATTTTCGGTAAATTTCGTCGATTTCTTCACAGTAGGACTCTGCTGTGATGGTTTGGTCTGGTAACAAAAAGTTATAGTCGATCACACCAGCCGATGACTACCACACTGTGATCATAACCTTTTTGTCGTGAAGATTCGGCTTTGGAAATTGCCTCAGGGGTCCGCCGGCATCCAACCACCGTCCGAAACGTCTTCTGTTATCATACTTATCTCCTTTTCATCACACGTGACAATTCGGTCCAAAAGCGGGTCGTTGCTGTTGTGCAAAAGCAGTGAAGAAGAAACCTCGAGACGTGCCAATTTCTGCCGGTCACTCAAATTGTAGAGCACCCACTTGTCGAGTTTTTTCCACCTTCTCAATGTTTTTCAGACCATCCGCAACAGTGGATTTGCCAACGCCTAGCATTTCTGCAACCTCTCGAACTGTTTGGGATGGGTCACCCTCCACAAATGCCTTCAAATCTTCGTCAGGTATTGCTTTAGGTCGACCGCTACAAGGTTCATCTTCAAGGCTGAAATCTTCAGAACGAAATTCGTCCATTCATTGTCGCACGGTGCGTTCTCCTACACTATTGGGGCCCCCACACCTGGTTAATTTTTCGAGCTGTCTCGACTGCGGATTGACCCAATTTGTAGTTGAAGAACAATATCGTCCGAAGTTGCTCTATGCTTGATAAACTCTTGAAAAAAAAAGGTCAATCAAGCAATGGTGAAACGGCAATTATACCATCAGATAGCGCAGAAAATCCTCTTCAGGATGTACTACTGAAACGCCACGGAGAATGAGTTTTTAATCAGCAATGAATGTACAAAAAATAGTAACACAAAACGCTGAGAACTTTCCGGACAACCTAATACATAGCGTCAATGACAAATTTCGATTTTTTTCGCCAAACAGGCTGTTCCTTCTTTTAATTTGTCGTCTTGTCTTTGCCTTGGCATTTGTCTTCCACGGCCTGAATGCACTTCATTCTCAGTTATTGCAAATCGGACCAGCGAAACATATACGGAGTGAGAACTTTGCCGACATACTACCCCACTTCACGTCGCACCAAACAATCCCAGATTTCGCCACTCCCAATCATCCGAGGATTCCATTAATAACTTCCTTTCTTTGTAACTAGTTCGGCGCTAACTCCTAGCTATACCACATAACACATTATGGACCACTGACACCACAATTTTAGTATTGAACTGATTCTTTTGAGTGAATCACAGATTCGATCTTCTCACTCACCGAGCCAAGCCTTCCAAGGCTCAGCAGCTGACATAGGGAGTACTGAGTAAGTAAGAAATAAGTAATACCCAATAACGATGTTCTGCTCCAAATATTATGTTTGTAGAGCGACACTTCCTCGTCCTGGCACCGCGTGCACTAGCCAGAGTATGGTTAATAACGTTTCAATCAGACTCAACGGTGCCAAGAGAGACGGAAAGCCGCTTCCGCCTACCTTGGTCAATAGTAATTGGTGAGTTCGATTTAGCAAGAACAGCCAGTGGTGAACATGCCCCGTTGAGCTCATTCCATCTTATTGAAACCCCTCCGAATAGTCGCGACATTATTAACTCTACTTCCTACCCAATTAGACAGAAGCAGGCAGGGAGGGATCTAGTCAACTGAGACACGCAGACACACAGTGTTGACGCACCACCGTACGCCATGTTGAGTGAATTGGGTCTTGGTGCGAATAGCGTGTTGGTCTGGCAACGTTGCTACCCGCCCAGTTTTTATTCTCTAGCTCTCCTTTCTCGCCTTTTTCTTGTTCATCTTCGAGGTTTCCAATTTTTTTCATTTTCACTGCTGACAACGTCAATAACAGTTTCACCTCCGCCTCTTCGTTTTCTCCGAAAACATTTCCCGACTGCTCCGTGCTTTTCGTTCTCGCCCAGTAAAATTGTTCCACAATTTGGAAAAAAGCTTTGAAGAAAAGCGAGATCATCCCAAGGTACCAACCGAAAAAAATGAAGATTAAAATCTGCACTTGCTCCGAAGTTGTTCTATCCCGAAATCAGAAGAACTCGAATCACCTGGATTCCACGCGAAAAAGCAAAAAGCGAGCATAATCATCCCAAAATCGACAGCTTCTTCGCAATCACCTTGTTACGATGCGATTTCATAGAAAACAACAGTTTTTGGTATCATACTAACTTCATTAGGCATGAGCCATCCAGGCATAAGCTTGCAATGATAAAACGAACGAGGAAAGCGTTAAAATGACTTACGAAGCACGAAGTTAGAAGTAAGAAGTAATAGGAAGAAGTCGTAAAGCTTATGCGTCTAAAGGGGTAGGGTACAAAGAGCATGAAATCACTAGTTTTTGCATTCTTAACCAATCACATTCAAACATCAACCATACATAAACCATGAACAATAGATGTCTATTATCAAATATAAGGAGTAATGTACAGTTGGAAGGGCTATCATGAATACTCGCAACAGCGCGACAAACTAGGTTTGATGTCACAATTAGCTATATATCATGCTTGTACACACACACAAGTGATAAGGATAAAATTGCTTGTTAGATGGAACTCAACATGGTACAGAACAAAATGATGCTAAACATAAGCACTGCCCAACATTGCGTTTCGTCGAATGGCGTCACTTCTGAAAAAAAAAGTTCGTCAGAAAAAGGTAGTGGATCCACTGTAGTTGAGCGCACTCGCGGCGGAGTGAAACTGAAAGGTTGTCCTCCAAAGCTCTTCGCTACGACGCACGTTAACGCGCTACAAATCAAAGCGCTCCAGTACTATAGACGCAAATGCAGTCGCAGACCGATCAGGAAATCGACTGGTGCCGGCCACAGGTTTGGCGGAGTATAGGATAGCAAAAAGGCGCGCGCTACCCTCACACAGTCTGGTACTTCTTCTAAACTTTCCCAAAGCCCTAGCATCCAATGCCGGTCGATACCGGACTGCGTGATTGAGCAGCGTTAATACTCCTGGTCTCCCCCATGTTCTCACAATACACAAGCCGCCCGCTCCGATCGATTCCAGTCTGCAGCAGCGTTCGCTTGTACAGCACTGCAGTACTGTAGCAGTTGTAGCGCGGCGAAGCGCTCACAGCGCGTCGAGAGCGTCACAGCGCGTTGAAGAGCATCACTGCAAATTTTGATTTGAATGCTGCCTTAGCGACAAAGCCCGCGACTACAAGGTGACGCCAAGTGATGTAGCATGTACCAGTACTTCAAACAACTCGCTAGAAAAACTTAGTTTCTTTACGCCAACTCAACTGCGATGACTTAATTGACACCATGAAAACGTACAACACAGAATCATGCTTTTCGCTTGACAAACACATGCCTATATACTGTGGTTGCAGCAGATTAACGGGCGTGTCAGGTGGGCTGAGTCTGCGGTGCCAAACCCGTTCTCCACCAGTTGCTGAGGCGAGCATGTGATAAGACTGTATCGATCCTTCACATCACTAGTTTTCTACCAATTTTCGTCGCAAACTCGCTTCAGCAGCTAGCAGAGAACGGGTTCGATGCCATGACACACTAATACTGCCTGACACGCCCCTTCATCTGCAGCGAACTAAAGTATATATTTTTGTGCCGCGTTCGTGCAATGTTTAACGAAGAGGAATTTACATTCAAAAAGGTATGATCATTTAGCGAGGAGGAATTTTTATACAAAAAGGTTCGATCATTTACCTTCGGTGGTGCAGACGCCGGTGGATGTTGAGTTGGTGCTGACGAGGGATTGGTATTAGCTTTTCTTTGCTGCACTAACGCGGCAATATTATTTAAAACTTCTCCAGGCGCATATTGTCGCAGAAGCTGATTCTCAGTTTCCAAGGTGGAGACCTAAAATGAGGAACAAAAATTACACACAAACAAAATCCAATCACGATACCTAAGCCTTTTCTAGAAAGGCAATCGATTATATGCGGAAGTAGTATGTAACGAAACACATGTATTTTTCTGCTCGACAATCGGAAAATCGGTTAACGAAAGCTCGGTAAAAATAAAGACGCCAGAAAAGTAAAAAAAAATTCAAGCTTCTTCGAAACTTACCCTTTGTTCGAGTTCTGCAATGGTTTGTCGTAGCACTTCGACTTCTTCACGAACAGCAAAGGTGAGATGGGTCTTTACCAAATCCTGACAGAAGAAAATATTGAAAACTTGTAAAAGAGCTGCTTTTACAACTTTTATGAGACAGCTTTACACATAGGATCAAGAGGCATTCAAGTAATGTAGGTGGTACAGCCGCTCCAACCACCAAAATGGCTATGGCATTTCACTCTTATAAGCTCATATGATGATGCTTACACCCGCCTTAAAATTACCACACAACTAGCGAAGCAGAATCTGGTTTGCTGCGGTTGAAGGGCGTGCCTGCGCGGCTGCGTTTGGCACGCCGCCAGACCCATTCTCCATCAATCGTTTGAGTGGGTAAGCCACAGAAACTGATGAAAACGACTGACACGAACGATATGATACAGCCCTGTCGGCTGCCATAAGAACAAAAGAAAAAAAACAGGTTGACGCCGCGCCAAACGCAGTCGCACGCACACGTCCCATCATCCGCAGCGAACCAGACTGTATGTCACAGTTACTTTCAATTGATTAAATAATTTGACTAATAAGTCCATATATTATATAAGCGACAATTGGACGAACTACTGAATATACAGTACACGGATATTTCGCGTGTGACTTTACAAGTAGGTTAACGAGGCATCCGCACTCTGGAGGAGCCCTCCCATGAAAGAAAGTAAGACCGTTTAGACTTTGCGATCGGACAGCTCGAGCGACTGGATGGCGCGATCAAATCGAGCGAGCCATCCGATCACGAAGTCTGAACGCCGTCCAAGGGTTTTAGCTTTGTCGACATATAATAACCCACCATTGCCTGTTCGATCTTGTTGTCGATTGCAACGACGTTAGGAGCTGTTACTGGTGCACCGTTTGCAGAGGGCGGTCTAAAACCAGAGAAGGCTGAACACATTTTTATTGTTTTACATCATAAAAAACAAGATCTCAATATCTATCTATCTTCAAGTCAATGGTCCCAGATAAGCTTCAAGCAGACGAACGTCCGCTGAGCGTCCCTGCTGTATGAAACGAATTTCACAACTAATAGGTTGGTGAGAAACAACTGAAATTTTTGATGAAAAAATGTTTATGTTTACTGCCCTCTACGCCCGATTCTCCACAGTCGAACCATATTTTTGCTAAACCACAGTCGAACCATATTTTTGCTAAAAGTCATTTTCGCCTGGGGAAGATTTGGCTAGAACTTCGTCACTGGAGATAGTTTCCTCCTGCGCACTCAAACATTACCGAATCACTGAGATTTAGTTTGACATTCTCAGAACGGATATTAGCGCGAACTTCTAAAACGTGCGCTGTGGGCGCCGGGTAAGTGATAACCGGAATTTTCACGATGATCCCGGCGCGAAACGTCAGAGCGCAGAGAAACAGAGGGTTGCGGCTGCCATTTTATCAAAACGGGTACAAAAACATGCCACGAGCCAGGACGCGGCTTTTTAGTTGTTTTTTTTTTGTTTCTCAAGAGAAGGAGCCCAGGGTGGATGGGCCCCTTACTGAGGGTAAAAATTTGCATGCGTAAGTTCTTAACAGCAAAAGATACCATGTAGAAGTAGGAATGCAGAGAAAAACAGAAAGTTGGCGAGATTAAAGGACTGAGATCGAGTTGCCCGTGGACCATGGGAGCCTGCGCCAAAACCATAACGTTCCGCGCAATATCTTTGCTTTAAAAGGATGTGACTTTCGTGGTAAGGGAGTGAAACTACCCTCGGCTAAAAGAAAAAAAAGTAAAAAGTGACTCAAGTCTACCGCTACGGTTTAACTTCCACCAAAACGTGGCCTTAAATTCCAAGAGCGGGGCTGTGAAGTGTGACTGCTACCCAAAACGAAGCTTCAAGGAAAACTGATGAAAGCAATTTTGAAAACGCAGCGTGGCTCATTTTATAAACGTTTCGACCAGAGTGAACCGGAAAAACTCATTAACCCGAGAATACAAAGTTTTGATGATGATGGAAATCGAAAATTTGTCTGCAATTAGTTACAGTCTATAGATTTCAATACTTTTATTTTGAGTCCATTTTTGAATCAACCTAAAATTTCTAGGCTCCAAATGTTGATTATTTTCCCACCAACCTGATAGCTTTGCTTGAAAACAATCTGTACACTCACCTACAAAAACGATGATCCCTGCCGTGTACGACGTGACGAGGATGAAAGTAAGGATTAAAACGCGGCATTTCGCTGGGTTATCGCTGCTAGTTGTCGAGTCTGACAATTGGCATCTAAGGAGCATGGAAGAGACCTATTTTGCTCCAAAAGTAGGAGCGTTCGTCTGCCGACCATCTTTCGTCTCGTAAGAATCCTTTCATACGTAGATCAGATGCTGGAGGGAGAAAATTTACTTATTCCTTGGAAAAACTGCTTTTTACGGCAGGACTGTACGGTTTCGGAATACCACAGTCAGTAGCTACCGTAAAAAGGGGTCTAGGGTCCCAAGGAATTCCAGTGTAAGTAACATTAAGCATACATCAGAAAAATAGCACCGGAATACTTCAGGGAATTCATCACAGAATATTGATTCTGACTGCGAAAACCATTATACCTGGATCGCGGCTACTATGTGTGGTTGTGTGCACTACAGAAAATCGCTTAATCCAACCAAATCTTATCAATGGCAAACCAGCTCTGATCTACCATTTGTCGCAGGTATGTAGCCCACAGTGCGACCTCATTAGCCCACGATAGTACTGCCCCTCTCCCATCTCCACAGCTACACTACCGTGCTACTTTCTGCGTTCGAAAGTGTGTGGGAACAGGACTAGTATCGTGATAGCCTGTTGCTTTATACCGACTCCGCCCACGCTGCCGCGCAGCCAGTCGCACGCCTAACTACAGCCAAACGCGCTATCTGTCTGCGCCCTCTCACTTCTGCTTGTCTTCAATGAATGAATGCGTGTCTGCGGGATTTGGGTATCAACGCAAGCGCTATGTCATCAATAGGCTTCGTCCTCATTTCCGCGCGCTCTCAAGTAAGGAAATTGCTACACGAGTACAGTTGTCAAGCCGTTCTTCTCGCTTATGGCATGGGTCATCCTCAGAGGTGAGTGCACAGTTTGTCTTTGACGGTAAATCAACAAAAATTGTAAAACGGAACGCACATATCCTCTTCTCCCGGCGAATTAGCTCCAGTTGATGCTCCCTGAGCAGCAGAAATCTGCAACATGTCCGTATAAGAAAAAGAAAAATCCAAGCATTACCTTCACCAAATTTTCTCTTTTCTTATTTTCAATGCGGCGCTACACTACCTACGCACTTATTCAAACACATCGAGTGGATCTTTCTTCTGTAGAATGACCATCACTCTTGCCTAACTAGTGTCAGAACCGGTAAAATCTCAAAAGGTTACGCTGAGTTATAGCGTGACCACGCCTTGCATTACCATTTTAAGGGTACAACAGGGTATTGAGCGATAAGGAAAATATAGGTATCGATCTAGTGTACGCCAGTGTAACCCTGCGTTTTGAGCATAGGGTACAGCATGTGAAGTGGCAGTGTCAGTACGTCCCCCCACCCCCGTTACGGCTCTAATTGTTTACTCTGACGGATTAGATACGTAACGTAGAAGGATTTGATACGTAATGACTAGCAAGCGCTTGCGGCCGCGTCATGGTTCCACGGTTAAATTAGCGGTGGAGCAGATCTGTTGGTCGGGTGAGAATCGCGGGGCTTGTCTGGGAAGTGATAGCTTTTTAGGTGTAAGGCTCTTGAGAAACGGAAGGCGACTTGTTGAAAAACTGTCTCCACAGTTGCGTTTTCAACCTACTCGCAGTCTGAATCCTCCGTTCGTGAAATATTTCGGATGCGCTACGAACGCGTTAGTAATAAATCGCGAGAGGGTTTTTATGCTTCAGATCAGAATAACTTATTTCAGATGCAATCTTTTGTTTTTGTAAAATTAGGAACCCCGTCGGAACCCCAAATGTTTTCGCTTTCCAAGCTCTACAGTTTTCCCCGGAGACCTGCTAGTTCAGAAGATATTTCAGATGGATCCCCCTTGAGCGACATTCTGAGAAACCCAAAACCGACTGCTTCTATGCCATGGTAAGATACACTTCGCTAACTTCAATATGCCTTCCAAACATATTCCCCGTCGAACTGAGTCAAAGCATAATTTAGTTGTCATCGATCGATTTGGTTCGAGCGTGCGCCATGCATTAAGCTTCTACGCACAGGTGGTGGAAAAGTAAAACTTCTGATTTCAAGTGATTTTTGTCCAAGCAAGCAGATGCTTCTTCAGGGTTTGGTAGGTCGATATGCACCAACCTTTTTGAGGTTATTTAGTCATCTACGCACTTACGAGTTATGCTAACTAATGATATTGCTGATCAACTGTTTTAATCCTTTGTAGTCCTCTTACATCCGGGTCCTATGCAGCTTTCCGTCCACTCCATCAAATTTAGCGATAACGCATTTATGCTGTTTGGTGCTCACCGGCTTCGCATTTACGACCCTCACCCAGCCAGGTACGACCCCCGGTAGTTTTCGCACAACGATGCTGTACCCTATTGAGCATTTTGCGGTAGTTTCGAGGTTTCCGCGGGCAATCCCTGGAAACGCTGACGTACGCTCGGAATGTTAAATCGATACCTATACTTTTGAAGTCGCTCAAAACCCTAGATCGATACCTATAGTTTTCCAGTCGCTCAGAACGCCTACGCTGGCGTACGATAGATTGGTACCTATAATTTCTTGGTAGCTCAAGACGCTCGAAGCTGTACGTTCGAAACCCTAGCTCAAAATATGAACGCAGCCTAACAGTGAAAAACTTCGCCCCAGCCAGGATCCAGAAAATTTGATCGGCAATTCGATCATTGTGCTACTCCCTCAACTGTTGAGACAAGTCAAATTCAAGAACATTTTCCAGCCACTTTGTTTCCAATTTCCTTCAGGTGCAAACTGCTTCAGTTACCGCGAGGTATAGTCCAGTACATCCGAGCCCATAGCAGCCGAAGGAGTGGTATAAATTTAGTCACTCGCACCACAACGCTACTCAGCGTGGCAGTGCTACAGCACATCAATTCGATTAACTAGGAGATAGCCCGCTAGTATGCGCGTGATGCTACGCCTCGGATGTCCTGAACGTCACACGTACTAAGGTTAAGCTGGATCTTGGTCAAATATGCGCATCTACCGAAATACCGAAATCGACTCAATACAAAACCTTGGAAATTCAAAACATGTGAGAATATTCAATGAGCCCGTTTGTTACTCACTCAGCGAGCAGTGTCTCATATGACGGTGAAGAATTATAAAGAAACCATTTTTTTTCTATCAAAAATATTCGGCGCTGTTTGACCTAGGAGAGGGGGGAGGGCATTTTGCACTTTCGCTAATTCCTTTGGCTGGTTAAAGTTAACCGACAAAAGCTCAAACTCTGGTAGAAGTGCGAACTAGTACAGGTAAACAACTGTTTTACAGGAATTCACAGGTCTTCATAAAGTAACCTGTACAAGCTTCCCTGAGTACCGTTTGGTGACCCCATCAAGCCGAATTGCGCCAAAGATCTCTCATAAGAGGAGCTTGACAATACCTGTTATGTTGTAGTTGGAGGATGACCTTTTAGAAGGAGTTTCACGTTCAACAAATCCAAAGCATAAATGAATAAACAGCTCACCTGAGCCGATTCAAGAGACCCTGTGTCCAAAGGCGGCATCTGAAAATTGCAACCATTAAACAGTTTTCGTTTAATTTTCGGCTTGGTAGCCAGAAAACGCCATCAAACTGACTGTAGCGAACTACAAGATGGGGCAGTTCAGCGAGGGGGGGGGGGGGGATTTCGCATTTTTGTTGATTCACTAGTTCTGGTTTGCAAGTCTTACTCTGCTGAAACCTGTGCACCCTTGTGAAGCCAGAGCAAGCTCAACAAGCCATGGTAAGTGGTACTTTTATGGTACTTCATTGCTTTACAAGAGCTGAAATGTGCTTTTTACAGGTATGCTGCAGGTGGTCCCTATAAACCTCAGCTGAAACCATTCCGCAGCTTAACAAGATTTCAAAGGTCTCCGCTTGATGGCTAAGCACGATGACGGGAACTGGTAGAAGTGTGAAATCCTCGTTCCCCGTTAGCGAACTGCACCGCACAAGACATAAAGAGCAGGGACCAACAAATCAAGACGAGCTTATTTTGTTTTGAAGCTGTGTGCAAAAATACAATACTCTGCGCTTCAAGCGTTGCATGAACCTCTTGCAACGCTTGGCTCTATTCACATTATGTGCATCCCACATCTTGACACCTTAGTTACCAGTAATCTCTCGTTCAGGTGCGCCACTTCCGATGACAATCCGTGGTTAGCACGATTCAGAAGCGAAATTGCAGGTTCTAGTTCACTAAATAGTAGGAAGGAGAGGCAAGAAGCGCCCAAAATGTCTCAAGTAGGACCCTACTTTTTCAGGACTGGACGAGTTAACCAACACTGGAGCGACATTCCTAGACAAACTGGCTCTGTGAGAGCAAGTCAATAGCCCAGGTGAGAAATTTTGCCGCTCAACTCGTGCCGCTAACTTCTGATTGTTCTTCTTGTCCAAAACTAGAACCTATTTTTGAACTCGAACTGATCAGCTGAAAATCGATTAGGTGGTGGGTACACGTGCTAGAACTGTTCGCACGCATCTGTGTGAGCATTACTGGCTGCCCTGCTGGGTTAAATCAAAAGCACTTCATTTTAAGGTATGTTACAGAACAAACGCCTTCCATCTGGCCAACTGAACTGTTTGATTGCATGGGCCATCCCTCGTGAAATTTCTTTTTAAAAAAAACTACTCGAAGGAAGCGAAACAGATGGTGAACGCACACAATCAACAAGTGTTTACGCGCTAGCAACCCCCGGAAAGCACATGAAAATGCCTTACGACGCGCAGATAACAATGGCAATAACAAAGCACGCATCCCTTCTTCTGTGAGTGCTTCGCCAACAAAAACACCCGGAAAGAAGAAGGAAGCTGACCCGGGATTTGACCCCCCGGACGGCGCGCGTGAAGCGTGTTTTGTCACTCACCACCTACGCATCAGGTGATCTATGATACTTTACAAGCTTCGTAGGCTTGAAGACATCTTTCACGCCTCTCCGATAAGCAGAATGCCCGAGCGTAACTGGTAGACAACTTCGCAGTAGCAAATTGCGTCACTCTCGCCTTTTAAACGTATAATTAGAAGCAAAGAAAGCCAAACATCGGTAAAGGAATACACTCCAAAACATAGATGATAAGCCAGGAGCCCCAGTAACGCGTAATTTACTCCTTTTCTGACCTCTGCCTTTCATAAATACCCACGAGAAGACGACTTTCATGAAGCGGCTAATATCCGCACCATCCCTGCTCCTTGCGGCGCCCTGGGACAGCGTCATGTGGCCTTTGGAAGGTGTTAAAAGGAACATTGCGCAACCCTCCTACGGGTGATATCTCATCAAAGCACAGTAACCCCGCTCCACAATAGGTTGTGAAGCGGAAATACGAGTGCGTGAATACTAGTTGACTTACACTAAAGAAGAAAGCAAACCAACAATGCTTTAGTGAAGCAAGTTTGTTTGCGAATATTGGTCGTGTAAACGATAGGGCGCAGAGACGCCTAGCCGCGCGGATGAAAGAAAGTAAACTCGGCAGCCAGTAAAGGCGGACACCCAAGAATTACGGGTGGAGAAATAATGATGGCTTGGTCAGAGTTCTGTCACAAACCCATTGCATTCCTGCTACTTACTTTCCAGTGATTACGTGGTAGACGAGCTGCGAGCGGCTGTGAACCGTATTGCCTCTCATGTATTTGCGGAATGTGCCTTCAAAGGCAATTGACACGATGAACCCCCAAGGCGACTAGGATCAATACTGCTGGCAGGATAGAATTCTGCGACCCCGGGCAGGCGGTGCTTAGCGGTTTCCCCGAGGAAAGTGCCCTTATAAAGGCCCTAAGCCACAACTTTACGTCCCAAACGCCCGCCCGCCCACAAATGGACGATCGTTCCTGACGCTCGTATTCATTCATTTGCTAAGCAAATTATGGGATTGGAATGAAGCGGCCGTGATGATGCATGCATACATGGGTACACATATGCAGCCGTACCTTCGGTAGCGGTGATTGGTAAGATGCCTACGGGAAACTCGTCCGAAATCGATTTACAAGTCACTGCGAACGGAGGCTTTTTCTCCGCAGGATTTTGACCGTTTCAC